GCTGCCTTGACCAGAGGCAGTGGGAGTTCCGATTCTCGCGCTGCCTTAAACTGGCTGATGCAAAATGGAGGCAGGAACGGACAAGTGGAACCTCTCAGCAATTGCGTTTGGAGGAGGGCCTCTTTAATAATTAGGTCTCCCTATTAAAGAGGCCCTTACGTTCTTCGTTTCACATTTTTTTCTTACGAACCTTGTCTTTCAAGGCCGCTACCTTGGTCTTGTGAACGTCATAGTGTCTTCTGGATGGCTTGTTCGGCTACCCAGCGTTGACATTGAGACATGCATGTCATTTGGCAAAATGCTTGCTCCAGGCTTTATTGGACAGGACGGCAAGAGATATCTTCATGCAGGCAGATGGAATCTGTCAGACCCACTAGCACAAATCATTCTTTCAGACTGACCCCTTTTTTCGTAGAACTCTTGGCAGGTCTTGATAATTTTCCCGAGAAGCGTTTCTTCTCAGCACGACTGGCGAGCTTCCCGAAGGCCAATGCTCCAAGAGTAGGTGTTAGGAGTGCAAACTGTGCGGCCAGAAACCACGTAATTTTGTATATACAGTATGCAAGTGGTCAGCGGAGGTGTGGTAGCTCACCGAACCCAAGTACTATGGCTCAACTAGAAAGCAAGAGTTCCTAAAAGTGGTGGCGAAGCGACCACGAACGATGGAAAGTGCAGGAGCCTTCTTTGAACCGAGACTGGCGTGGAGTACACGCTCTGACAAGCGAGCATGTCGACCCAATGAAATTGCATCCCCCGGGATCCCTCCTCACTGAAATTTTTCCGGGTTCGAACCCATCACCACCACCGAATCACCTTTAGAGGTATGTTCAAAGGTGTTAATTCCTTGCTGTTTCCGCTTGCGCGTAGACCGCATGTAGTCGTCACTCACGATGCGCCATCGTTGTTTTGACTTGTAGTAGAGTTCCAATTCCTTAGCTCCACTTTTGGTAAGGGCGTTGCCAAGTTGTGCCTCAGAGTGTACCCACCGTATCATGACCTGATTATGGCGTTGTGCGGACTTCAAGCATAACATTTCTATGTCTGTTCGACGTTCAGCACCGTTCACGCTGAGTTCCTCAGTTTGGGGTTTGGCAAACATGTTGCGCGAATCCGAAACGACACAACCGCTGATTTGATTCACAGTGTTATCAACATCATATATGTTTGGTTGGTGCATGAACTCGCCATATTGAAATCTCGCATGGAAAAGAAGGTCTTGGCCGTTGATGACTGCGCTTGCCTCTGCAGCTCCGGGACTTCTAGTTACTCGGTCGATTTTGTTGGCGTGCCAAGCAATGGGGACAACCGTTTCAAAAGCTCCTTCCAACAAAGTGTGTGGTGCCACACCTACAAACAGTCCTTGAGTGCTGCTGCCATCTCTTCTGTTTTGACCGGAGGCATCGGCCCACACGAATAGCCCGATGGGCACATGCTCTGGAATCCTTTGGATCTTGAGCTTGTGATCTGATCGGGCTTTTGCTTTCTGTAAAAGGGAATTCACTTGAACGATGGTGTCCACTGTACTGGCTGTGACTTCAGACAACAAAAGTCCTACCTCGGCCGATAGGTGTGGAGATACTGTGCGTGCCAGCTCAACGCTCCCAAGATTGCTCGAAGCTTTGTGCGTTCCCACTCAGTGGTGGGCAAATTCTTCTCTCGGCGTCGGGAGGCGCACAAATTAATCTCACTCACTTTATCAAGATATGTGGGTTGGGAAAGTTCAAAACCTTCTGAGGTGGCCTCAACCTGTACACCGCACTGTACAAACTTTCCTTCTTCCCAATCAGACCACTTGAAGCGATCCTTGATCTTCTGCTCTAAAGATCTCCAGCGCTGGTCCTCTTTGGGTCCAGCAAATAAAAAGTCGTCTACGCGCCCGGCGATCGTTCCTTCTGTCACTTCATTGGTTGGCTTCCATAGCCAACAACAGGGGTCAGCCCAGGATTTCACTAGGCCAAGTGTCTCCAAGTATTCGGAAATTGTTCTGTACCATTCTAGTGGTGCATCGACCAGTCCATAGCATCCGCGCTTGACGCGGACTATGTCGCCCTGTGCCAAACCCATGGCATCGGTGATTTCTTTGCAGGGTGTGCAGTACAAAGGCGTGGGATACTCACGCCCCTGGAGAAAGGCGCCTGTGACGGACGTCCCCCTTCTTCACCTGCCAGTTTTTCCTGGCAGCCATGAACAGCAGCCATTGACGGGTGTGGCGTGTCATGACAGGTGTGGTCGTAGCGCGAAACTCATAGCCTGGGTCCTGATAGCCCTTCAGAATGGCCCTGGCCTTTGCTTTGTATGTTCCATCATCTTTGAGCTTCCAAGTGAGCAGCCAGCGCATGCCGATTACTTGATTGGCGCAGTTCTGGTGGTAGGGCCTCAAAGGCCTTGGCTGACAAGAAGTTTGTAACTTCCACCCCCTTTGCTTCCTGGAATTCTTTACGTTCTTGTGGTGAAAGCCTATGTTCATGTACTTCTACTTGGCGTCGCTGTAGTGCCCCTGTGAAGTAAGCCTCGAGATTCTTTATTGCTGCTTGCATACCCTGTCGTGACTCTGGGAAGGCTATCTCAATCTCAACACACGCTTGTTCATCAGCCCAGAAGGAGACACCTTCTGGGGTGGTTACTTTGTGTTCTTCTTGGACTTGAGTCCACCATCCTTGGTGGTGGCCACTGGAACTGCTGGAGTGTTCGCCCTCTCTGGCTTGAGAAGTGAGGTGTGATGTTCGACTGAACTTGGGATGGCTTTCTACCATGGTTGACCCCACCGATCGTTTGTACCGGTGGCGAAGGTGAGGCTGTGGTAGACGAGGTGTGTCCTCATCTTGTGTGTCACTCACCTCCATGGGCTGTGCAACGTGTGGATCTTGTGCTCTGTGCCATTCTGCTAGGTCTGGAGCATGTCTTCATATTCGTTGCCACCCAACTCATTCACAATTCGGGGGAAGGTCCAAGGTGCCTCTGGTTCTGGTTGGTCTCGAAGGTGCTCGACGAGTTCTTCCCTGAATGTGGCTGGTCGCAGTTGCTCTACACAACACTTGAGAAGCCGACGTCCTCGAACACACCAAATAGACCACCCTTTTTCAAGGTTGCCTTGCGCATCCCGTTTGGTTTCTGTGCGCAATACGCGAGCAGGTGCCAAAAAGGTGCCATTCTTCCCCACTTCTTTGTTTTTCACTTGCTTCCGCCAGAAATAGACGAGGTCTCCTGGTCGGTGGTCACTCTGTGGTTGTGATCGAGAGTTGAGAGCTCTCCCAATCCGCTGGTCGGCCTGCCATTCTGACAAAGCCTGTTCGGCTTCTTTCATCAAGTTGATACTTGTCTCCATCTCTTCACTGGGATTGTTCAACAGTTCTTGAGGTGGTTCCCCGTTCAAGCAATTCACAAACCGGCCTGTGGCATCCGGTGCCTTTCCGAGAAGGTGCTGGACTGGCGAAAAACCTCTGATGATCTCCCGATGATTGAAGACCCGGACAGCTTCACTTAAACAGGCCTCTGCGGTCAGGTCGGGGTTTGACTGGCTCAACTTGGTCATGACTTCTTTGACGCCTTTGATGGCCTGCTCATATGTGCGCAATTGCCAATGTGCTTCTCCTGCAATTACATCCAAAAAGATGCCGTGGTCATCACAGAATCGCTCGAGCTCATGGCTTCTAAAAGCATCGCCGGGATCTACCCGCAAAGTGTGCGGGGCACCAAAGTACTGAATCCATGCTTCTCGCATGAAATTGAGGAAAATTGCAGCTGACATGGTTTGGTGTTTTCCATGCTTGGTCAAGCGAGCCACGCGAAACCGGCTTCCTTCATCACTCGCCAAAACAAATTCACACTCCTCCAAACTATGGGGGTTGGTCCATTTTCCCCCATCAGCACTGATCGTGGCCAGTTTGGGAGGAAGGGGTTCAAGCGAAGCGAGGTGACGATGATTCAACCGTTGAGACTCTTGACAAATGGAACATTTAAAATCCTTAGCCAATTGGATAACCTCTTCACTAGCCCCCCTTTGTTCTAAAGCCCTGACGAGATGTCGTGTGCTTCCATGCCCCGTTGCCGCGTGTAACAAATACAATTTCTCTTTTATCTTCTCTTCACGTTCCGACTCGAAATGCCGACCGGCGAATGCGGTTGCAACATGACTCTCGCAATGTGCCCTTGTGGTACGCGTGCTGTGTGTTTGTGTGCTCTGTGTACATGCACCACACATGACCATGGTGTTTCAGATGCTCACACACACACAGTACCTACCGTCATGGAATCCGGCGAGTAAACATGTGTTCCCTTGCAGCTCTTCTTGTAGGCTACATTGAGTGCGCTCCAGGGTGATCGCTTTGTTGATTTTCCTGGCCATTTCGGGTGTGTAGTAGGCAGTTTTACCAGCTTGGCCTCCTTCGCACTTTCCATGTTGATATCCCTTAGGGCAATGGCAGGGCAAAGACATCTTTTCGGCAAGTCGTGGGTTGTCATGATTTTCCATCCTTTGGACATCAGAGCATGTGTGTTTGTACACCGCAGATTCACTCGACAACCCTGCACGACAGCTATATATGGTTTCAAACATTTCATCAACTCTTGCATGAATGGTAAGCGCCATGCTTGACATCTCTGTGCCCACTCCCATGTAACATGGAAACCATGCTGAAAAACAGTATTGGTAGATACATGAAGCTCCTATGTATTGTTTCAAAGCGTCTCGCCGTTTTTCTTCCAGTTCTTCCACTTGCTGAGGCGTCCTTTGGTTTATAGACTGAAGCGGGGAGTACGGCCCACAGATGGGACTGATCCAGACATGTTGAGGTTTCAATAAGTCAACTTGGTCGAGGCCGCCTCTGGGTATCCAGCACTTTGCTGAACAACTTGGGAGAGAACGCTAGTAGGAGCACATGCAACTTCCAACAAAATAGTTTTCTTTTGAACCAAATCTTGAACTTGCTGTCCTATGTTTTGTTCCATGAAATGTCCTAGAGATGTCGAAACCTTAGCTGTGCTCGGTGTTTCACTCAGATCTAGGCTTCGGTGGCCTCCGACACCATCTCCGACACCATGGTGAAGTCGTCCTCGGACTTCTCTTTCTTCTTGTGTGGGCGCTCCTCTTTGAGTGCCTCGACATCCTCCTTCAAAGTCGTGAGGGTGTCCATCATCTTCAACATCGCTCAGATCTGCACCCGAGGCTGCCGGAGCTGACTTGGCCTTGGGCTTCGAAGGGTAGCCCGATGTGACCTTGCTGATGCCCTTGTCGCTGGTGGAGGTCATGCCCTTCTTCTTCACATATTGAATCTCTGGCAGGAGTTCCTCGTTCTTCTCCTTCTGGGATTGGCGCCAATGAGCGAAACGCTCGAGACGAGGGTGGCGTGAGCCTTCCATCATTGTGCGGACTGCCGCTGGGGTGTTCCTCGAACACCTGCGTAGGACAGTTGGGAGTGCGCCCCGAAGCCCATTGGATCGCGACCGTCCGGTTCGGAGATCGCATAGATCTTTTTCCACTGCCTTTTTCTCCAGCTGTGGAACGGTTTCGGTCCATTCCAGGTGAAGTTGGAGGTCGTTCTGGCAAAAGACGACGAGGTCGTTCTTCTTCTTGTTGGCTTTTCCCAAGCGAACCATCCAGGACTGATGGCTGGTGCGCACTTTCCCATGGGCTCTGACGATGCCCTTCTCCTCCTCGAGTTCTTGAAGACGGACCCGGAGCTCCGAGTTCGTCCATTTGGTTGGGGGTTCCTCCCCCAAGGCCCGGATGGCCTCCACCAAGTCGTGACGAGACTAAGTTGCGGGCTAGAATCCGGTGGTAGATCACCTGGCGCTTGATCTGAGTGGCTACTGCTTGGCTGCCGTCGCTCGGTTTGTGAGTTGGTTTCTTGTTTGTTATTTTCCCCTAACAAAACCGAACCAACCTCTCCCCCAAAAAACCTTCTCCCCATACCTTCTTCATGTGAGGGTGACCCCGGTGCCTGAACATGTGTCTGGCCCTTCCTTTCCTCCTCAGGCAAAGCGGAAGGAAGGAGTTGTCCCTGCTCCTGGCAAAAAGATCGCACGCTAGGGATCGCCTGCGCAAATCTTGGCGGTGCTCAAACACTTGTTGCGGCTGCTATTGCTAAGTCCCAATACTGGCTGGTTGTTGACATCCACCTCCAAGACTCCTCCATCTTGGTGCTTTCGCAGGTTGGCGTTGACTAAGGCTTCCATGGCATAGACTGAGCCCAGCGTTTTCGTGGCTCCTCCGTCGACGATGCCATAGCCTTCAGCAATGGCTTGTTCCGTACTTTTTCGGCTCTTGGTAGCCCCTGTCTCTGCCAGGTAGGCGTCGTCTGCAAAGAGGGTCACCGCTTCTGTGGCTGCTTCGGCGTAGCAGACGAAGGGTGCCTCTTCTTGTGCTACATGTCCTTGTTCATGTCGAGATGGTTCCGCCCGGTCAGGGCAGTTGGCGATCTTGTGAGGACCGCCGCGTCGAAAGCATTTCATGCACCCTTTTCCTGCTGAATCACCTGCTGGACGAGACTTGTCGGAGGTGGTGATCTTGTAGTACTGTCGGCTCATCTTCACTTGATGTTGCTTGGCCCTTGCTTCTTTCAGGGATCGGCGAGCTTGTTGGAGTGCCGCCATGCCCGTCTCTTCGGCCTCCACAGCGGATGCCATCAGAGCAATGCCCTCGTCATTCGTTCATCAGAGCGGTCGCTGTGGTTTGCGGCTCTTGCATTGAAGATTCACCCTCAGAGATGTCATCTTGGTTCCAGAAGCTGGAGTGCTTGTGGGCTTGATCTCGCTTCATCAATTCGTCTTTCGGCCACTGTGCTCGGAGTTCTTGAGAAATGCGCGTAGTGCTAAAAGTATTGCCCACTGCCGTCTGGATCATATTCTTTTCATGGCTGTCAAGTCCTGCATCATGCAGGAGATACCAGCCTTGGAGATAATCTGGAAGCAGCTCTGTGGTGGATTGTGTCCATTGCTCATCTTCCTGGTATGGTGTGGCCGTGTACCATGACTCTGACCAGAGTTTCCATGGATCAAAACCACCCTCGGAGGCGTCGTGAAAGTCATCATCTTGTCCCTGGCGGATGCCTGTGAAGCCGCTGATGGTTGTGGTGTGGAGTTCTGGTCCCGGGCTGTCCACCAGTTCTGATACTGGTGTGGTCGATGCCATGTAGTGCAGGTACTTGAGGATGCAGCCCTTTGTCCTGCATCAAGCGAGGTCCACATAGGTATCGCTTGTGTGTAGGAATGCCCTGTTCCCACTGTAATGACATCTCCTCATACTCCTGGAACGACCGTGAGTCGCCGTCCCATTGTGGCACCCCATCTTTGGATCTGGTGATTCCGTCTCCCATGACCACTTCGATCAGGATCGGCCGTGCAGAACCTGACTTGTCTCCTTTTTCTCAAGCCCCGGAGGGCTCCGCTACCATGCAAGTGGTCAGCGGAGGTGTGGTAGCTCACCGAACCCAAGTACTATGGCTCGAAAGCAAGAGTTCCTAAAAGTGGTGGCGAAGCGACCACGAACGATGGAAAGTGCAGGAGCCTTCTTTGAACCGAGACTGGCGTGGAGTACACGCTCTGACAAGCGAGCATGTCGACCCAATGAAATTGCACAGTATATATATATATATAAAGCAAGAGTAAGGAGTGAGAATAGAGGGGGAGAGAGAGAGAGAGAGAGGAGCTTGGCTACATCAAACTAGAACCAGGAGTAACTTCGAGTCAGAGATTAAGTAATGCAGGGCCAGAAGCTTGTGCCAAGGCTGTGGGCTTCGGACTACCAAAGAATGCTACGCCCTGAGGCTTCTATGAGCACTTGAGCAATGGCTCAGCGTGTTCTTCATTGTACTTCTGATAGCAAAGTTGTAGAGTTTCTTGAGCTTTTGCTCGTCATGCAAATATTGTTTAGGACCATGGGTCATTCTTCATCCGGGACATTGTCTTTTTTGGCCGGGCTTCTTTGAGGGGTACTCCCTTCGCTGGCCGAGACCACATAGTCGAGGTGCGAGTCATATTTTTTCAGCGTGCTCCAGAAGCAAAAAATAATAGAGAGGAACAAAGAAAAACACGTAAGAAAGTACATAGGATAGAAAGAGATAATTTTGCTTGAGTTCCTCATCTCTTTTTTCTCTCGATCAGGCACAGTTGCCGCGTCGCAAAGTCGACGCAGCACTGCGAAAGGCAGGAGTACAAGTGAAAGCCGCCTGGGCCACAGTTGAAATGCTGGGACGTAGTGTGGCAAACATGAAGAAGTCATGTTAAGTTCGCCCCCAAATCTGGTAACCAAATCAATCATGCAAGCCTGAACTCTTTTGTGTCCAAGCTAGGAGCTTCCTTGCTACGAACTTCCTCAACCTAACTACTTGCTAGCCTCTCACCGGCCTACCCTCCCTTCATAAAAGGACCTCTCAAAATCGCCTTGGCGTGGCGTGTGCACTCTGGTGATATTCATATCGTGGTCAAAGTTGAACACCGGAAACTTGTGGCGATCTGCAAATTGGTAAGAGTGATTGACAGTGATTGATAATATTTGCAGTTACTTGTTGAGGAGTGGAGAGCCATTTGTGCTGGCAGTATAATTGTGTTTTGTAACACTCTGGCAATCCATTGTAACGCCTGGTGATCCGGATGACTAAGATTCGTGCCGCATGCCGCATGCTAGAGCACACCAATGTTGCACCCAACTCTAACCTCGTGCAGGTGCACCACCTTGAAGTGGCTGCATGCTGCCCTCCATCTAGTGTATATTCCAGTACTATCTGAGACTCAGACTAAGACTGCAGCACAGTTCCTGTTTGCACGCTGTGCAGGCACTTTGCCCTGTAAATACACAACGATTGTGGGCCATAATGCTTTCAGATCACGTGTTCCGAGGAATCTTGGCATCAGATAATTCGAACATATTCGAACCTGAAGCAGAGCGTACCTGCTGCGACCAAGATGTTTGGGTTGCCGTCCGTGAGCATTGTATACTCTCCTGTAGAAGCACAGAAGATAGCTCAGACCATGCCAAATACAGCAAATGGCCCATATCAAGCAATGACTCTGATTGGTGGGTGGCGCGGTCGTTTGCAGCTGAGGTCGATGCGGATATCGAATATATAGTTCGATCCATGCAAGTTTAGCTCAGTTGTATTCATGTGATCCACATAGAGGTTTAGATCGGTGGTCAACAGCTGTTGCATTTACTACTCAGATCCATGTACAACTCAAATGGTTTCAGCTCAGATCGCGACAGATCTTTAGCCGATGTTACAGCCCACAGATCATTGATAAGCAGCTCAGATCAAAATGTGCTTAGATCGATACAACTCACATTGGTGCAGAAATCACAAGTATGTTGAACCTTGACTGGCGCATCATGGAAACTTCAGTCATGTTTCTTTTGATAGTGCGAAGGGCGAACTTCTTGAAGTTTTGGCCGATAGTTGTGAGAACATCAGTCATGCCAAACTGTTTTCTTCGCCAAAGGTGGTTCCCATTGGGCCCGAGAAGGATGATGAGAAGGACATTGACATACTGTATATTTCTTAGCAAAGCCTTTTTTTCTTTCGGGGGGGACACTAGCTTCTACATCAAGCATCTTCATTCTGGAGCCTCCTGCCGTCGTTGGTTCTAAGTAGCGGCGAGCTTCTTGTCAAAAAACACCAATCCAAGACGACAGCTGACAGGAGAACCTTCCATCCAAGACTCCTTGGCTCGATTCTTATGTGCAAACTTGAGGCAAAATCAGTCCTCTCTTTCTGGTACAGTGAAAGGACCAGTTCGGCGAACAGTTTCCGTGTGATCTGATCTGATCAACACATCCTTTGTTTGTGTGGCAGAGGCCACAACAAACCCAAGCTAGTGCGTACTACCGTTTATGACTATATGGCGTTACTACGTTACGTACAAGCGGGATTTGATTCATGATGCTTCTTGCAACGTTTGTTGGACCAGTATCATTTCTTCTCTATCTGAGGAGGAAAATGTTCTCCGATGGCATTCTGGACAGAGAGCAGCGCAATCCACAGCAGGAGGGAGACTCGAGATACGTTGAGATATTGCGTGCGCTTTTCCAGTTCTCGCTAGAAACTTTTTACTTCCTTTTTGCATAATTCGCTACATACTACTGGAAGCATCGTGTTTGGGGCGAAATTTTCCAAGCCTTACGGACTGTAGGAGCCCCCTGCTGAAGCATGCTCTTTGGTAATTTCTTCATCAGCAGAGAATTCCTGGCATGACTTGATGGTGCTTTGGGCTGGATGCTGTCAACTCACGGTGTAGATATGAATCATTATGAATCCCCTGTTTCCTGGCTTCCTGACCGCTTTGGAGGCATCAGTCTCGCTTCAAGGTCCGCAATAGGACTTGGGTCGATAAGCAGAACAGGAAGATAAGCCACTAGGAGCAAGGACGCTACTAGGGGCTCCTGGCCTTACTACTAGGAACAAAAATTGTAGTCAGCAGTGAGCAGACCGTTCCAACTCGCTAGTCCACCTTCAAAGACCTTGGTATGGCTGTTACTCTACATTCAGGTGTACCTGTGCCTGCATTCGTCCGATGTTTAAGACTTCATTCGCCTTCTTCCAAAGCCTTTGGGGGATTTGTTGTCAAATTGTTATATATATATAGTTCTTAATAGGTTATCTAGGAGTCGCGACCATTGGAGTCACTATATACGCACTCTGTCATTCTCTTCGTACTTTTCCTGCTTTGCGGCTTATCACCTGCCTGAAACTGCAGGTGATTTTCTCATTAGCACTAGAACTACCCACTAGCATCAGTCGTGGCGGATGGGTCGCAGCCTAAAATGGGATAGACCAGCTTAAGTTTAGCATGTAGGTTCTTCAAAGTCTAAGTTCTGCATGCCTGGATGCATGATAAGCTTTTGAACTAATAGCCGAGCAGGTTTCGCAGATCAGTTGTGCTGATATGTGGAAGTTCTGAGGCTTCCTGTGCTGGAGGTTCAAAGTAATATCTCTCTGTCCTTGCCACAGTGGTTCAAATTTTGTACATTACTGTTTCACCAGCATCATGAGATCACTGGAGAGGCCTGACGAGGCTGCGTTGATATCCGCTGCCACTCAAAGATGGATCGAAGCTGCTGTGGATGAGCGTGTTCAGAGAGTCTTGGCATCCACCAAGAGCCTCTCAGATTGGGTGGCTACCACATGCCAGCAAGGTGCAGAAGCTTCACGAATCACTGCAGCAGCTTTGCATGAGTCTGAAGAGGCTAGGCGACACTTGGAAGCAGATGTCCGCCGCCTGGCCGAACAACAAGAGCGCTTTCTGGACAGAAATCGAGAGAGCGAATACCGTGAGCTGAAAGAGTTGAATGATCGCTGGAATGAACGCTTCACTTCCATGGAGCTTCGCCTGAAGAGCAAAGAGTCTTCGGACCAATCTCGTGATGAAGAGTTTTCGAGTATTGTCAGAGATGTTCAATCGATTCAATTAACCATGCAGCGCCTTGAGTCGCAATGGGAGAAAGCCAATTCAAAATTCAACAAATTTGGTTTGGAGGTTGCATCCACCAGCTCTGCTGCTAGCATTTGGGAAGGCCAATGTCGGAGTGCCCAGGCTTTGCTGGAATCTCGCCTGGAAAGCATCAGCAAGTCCCTGTCAGATTTAGAATCGGGAAGGAATGAAAGCCTTGAGCGCATGCGGGAGGAGGAACGCCAGCATTTGCAATTCAGAGGTGATCCTGAGGCCAAAATGAGACTAGAAAAGGACTTAAAAGAGTCTTGTGAGAAAGTCTTTGTGGCCGTAGAGAAGCGTTGCAATGATCTAGCTGACCAGGTTGTTGACATCAGCAAAGCGCAAGTTGAACTGCAGGAGCTTACTTCTTCTCTCAGTGCCGTGGACCGCCGATGTGCAGCTGAGGAGAGAGGACATCGACAGCAGGATGTGGAGCAACGACGATCGGTCGAAAATCTTCAAAGGCGGATGCAGTCGATGCAAGTTGCCTTGGAGACCATTGCAGAGCTGCGCCAAGAGGATCGTGCACTTTCGGAAGAAATGAAAATTGATCATGAGCGCTTCCGGCAGAAGCTGGGGGACAAGATGAGCAGCCTAGAGCTCGGTTTAGGGGAGTCTGTTCGGCTAGAACAGAGGCTTGCAGACATTGAAGTCTTCTTGAAAAATTTCGATCAGGACATGCAAAGTCATGTCGAAAGCAGCATTGAGAAGCGTATGAAAGTAGTGCTTCAAGAAGTGAAAGGGTTGACCAAAGATGCCGCCCGAGAGTTGAGAGAAGAGGTTCGAGAGGATTTTCACAATTGGGTGACCTCCTGGGACAGTGGCTTTGAAGATGAGATGCCAAATATCGAGAGAACGCTGAGGGCTCAGCTTGGGCATCTCAAGAGGCGGTAGACCAGTCTCGGCAGACAAAGAAAAGGGCAGCACGGCATACCTTCAATTGCAAGCTTTGCGGAAGGATTCTCAGTGGAGAACTTTATAAAGTGGGAGAACCCTTTGTGCAAAGTGCAAGCACGCACATTCCAGGCAGGCTGCAGAGGTGGCGAAGCTATTGTGCTCTGCGAAGGTGGACGTTGTTGGTCAAAGAGATTTCATGTTTCATTGTTGTGCTTGTTTGTTTTGAGTGGGGACAACATGCGCAAGACTAAAGTTGGATTTGTGCTTGACTGACTTCCAGGCTGTGCGTGGCATTTGCAAGACTTGGCCACTTTCCAGCGAGGGTTCCTTGAAGAACCCTTTGCTCCACTGATTCTACTGTGTCGGACAGCATGACAATATGTATATATATATATATTCTTTTTTGTAACTTCTCGCCCTGCTAAACTAACTTCTGAAGCTACCGAACTCCCTTCCTCTTAGGCGAGCTTCCTGGACCTGAGGCGGACGGGCTTCGGTCCACCCAGACATTTCCAACTAGGAATTGGGATTATTAGGTAATTTACATTAACTTACGAGTTGCTTCTTTGTCATAATGTTTTCTCCAGCCAACAAGGCAATCTCTCTTCCAAGTTTTAAATGTCTCAAAGCAGCATATGAGACTAGCTTGCCATAGATTATCAGATTCGATCAGGCTGCCAAGCAGCTGCTGGAGATTCAGGCGGAGGATTGGCGCTGAGCTATTGGCAGGGCAGCTATTGACTGATGCATTTTGCGTATATACGTTTTAAATATAAGGTATTGCTTAACTGCCTGCATTTTAAATAACGTGTGTTTTTGCTGTAGCTTTCTCAGGAGTGGCGAGCACTTCATCCAGATACCATTAGAGAGCTTGGATTCTTTAAGGAGATAATATTCCGAAGTTTTTTTGGAAGCTTGTTATTTTCAATCAATATGAATACATTCTTTCTTGTTTCTCTCACTCGGTTGATCAATGAGCTCTGGATTGATGGGTACAACTATCACCTGCAACTTGCAAGAAGTACAGATGTTTCTCTTCTTGGTGTATTCTGATTCAGAATTCAGCTCTTTTGTGCATGCAGGAGCACCTGGAACGGAACACAAGGCACTTGGAGGGCACTCGCATTGCCCGCAGCGCGGCAATGAAACTTGGCGGCGGTGAGAAACCGGCTTTTTGGGGCGAAGAGCATTTGATGTGGACTTGAAGCCTTCATGTGTGACCTGAGACCTGAAGATTGGTTGGACAGCGCGGAAGAGATTTGATGTGGATTTGCTCGCATACCGAGGAGAATGATCATCTCAGGCAAAGGGTTCAGCAATGACAAACGCATGTCAACATTTGCTTTCCTAGAGCAGAACCAACATGTACTTGTGGTCATGCAGTCTAAGTGATAAGTGTCACCGAAGATGCCAGTCAGTCGCAACGTAGCAGAGAAAGAGCAAGTTTAGACAATTGTCTCAGATTTCCCATGCATTGTAGCAGCGCCGCAGTTGAGCAGCTACCCGCAGTTCAGATATATATATATATCTGCAGTTCAGGTAACCTGGCGAAAAGTGCATGGCTCTGAACATGCACACAGTTCCAGACTGCGAACATCAGAAGGCCACAAAATGACACAAACAACAAGAATCAACAGAATTGAACTTTGAATGCTGAGTATCCGTATCCACATGCGTGCACAGCATCCATTTGGTAAACCTGGAGAAGACCAATAGTCAACTGCACGACAAATCTGGTGTTTTGCCGGAAATTGGCCATGTGGCATGATTCCAGCCCCATCTGCCTGGCAGTTGCGTCACAGCCCGCCAGCGAAGCCCTGTCGGGGACAAGCCCGATATGGGCGGGCTTTTTGCGGTGTTTCTGCCACTGCAGCCACGACCTGGCGACTGAGTCGGCTAAGTGGTCAGCTTCTGCTCCGTCCAACGCGAGATTCAGCACGGTTGGCCTCAGAAAAGCCCGAACTCCTCTCCGATTTAGCTGGGTTGGCAGACTTTGGCTGTGATGATACTGGCTGCACAGTAGATGTGGATGCAAGCTCAAATGGCAGCACGTCAATGAAGGAGGACGAGTTGTTGTTTGAAGGAAATTTTGATGCTTGGTCCAAGTTTTTTTGGCAAGAAAATGCCATCACTCCATGAGGACCCGTCTGCAGAATTTATTTCTACAGAGGCTGCTGAAGTCTCGCGCTTCCTGGCACGTCCTGGTGACTTTACATATGCTGTCACTGAAGTAACTGCTGAAGGCCGTGTGAGCAGATCTGGCATGTTCTCTTGATTTGTCAGGTTGCTCAAAGAGTGAAGTAATGATTCTCAGAAGTATATATAGCTATGGGGCTTGCCAGGCTCGATGACTATCACCCGCAGCAAGCTTCTGACCGAGACAGGTCTTAGGCCCCATCAAGCCAACATGATTTCAAACCGAAAAGAACAGCTCAGCATGCAGAGGCCACGAGATCTCCGGGCTGTCTCTGCCAGAGCCACATTATGAGATCATTGCTTGGAGTTGAATTTGAACAAGTTTGCAAGCCTTTCTTGAAAATGCATTAGATGACTTTCAGGTGCCGCTGAAGGACTCTGACGCTGGCCCAATGCCCCCTGGCTCAGAGAAAAGACAGTGCTTGTGCTACACTGCTACACAAAACGGCACTATGCCGGCAACCCGTTGAAGTACGGTATGAAGAGAAGACCTGCCTTCAATCTTAAGGATTTACAAAAGACACCTTGACCTACGGAAGCGATGGGGCCTTCCCACAAGAGATTTTTTACCACTTGTGTGGTTGAAGCACGTCCTTACAAACTAAAAGAAAGGAATGCCGGAATGCCTCCCTTCCCTCCAAGCTGAAGTCTAGAGTTCTGCAACCCTGTCGAAATGTATGTGGTGACAGGAGATTATACCAGGAGTTTTGACCGCACTGCACACACACTTATATATACAAGTCAACACTTTGCGTGCTCCACCAACGTTATTAGCCGAGGCTTTCCAGCAGGCGCAAGCTGGGAAACACCAGGTTGACTCAATTTATACTACTGCTTTTGCAGCCTTGTGGCCAATGTATTCACACCGCTTCGCGGTAGAAGCTGCCCGCACAGATTAAAGTGAAACTGTGTCATTAGCACCCCACGAGGATACGGGCAGTAGCAACTTGTGCTCGCGGAGCCGGGAGGAATGTTAACCCGGTTCAAGCGTGAAGAAGCGTTGACTGGTCGCTATGGCCCTATCAAATCACCAGCCTTTTCACACAGGGTTCTTGCAGTTTCCCTGCGTATCCCCTTGCAACAATCGCTTGAGTGACATGGTAGATGGAAGGCGTGGACTATCAGGACAAGTTTTTCCACAAATCAAGCATGCACAGTTTTCAGGAAAGGCGGATGTCTTGTGGCCGCCTCACAAAGAGCTCTTGAAGTGTCTGCTGAGCTCCTCATCCTCCGACTCTTTGGGCTTGCAGGGCTCCCAGCAAATTGTCATTGCATTCTGTATTTCTGTATCAATCAGGCCACCTGTGCACGTGATGTGCAATATCGATGAGCGGAAAAATCGATCTCCCAGCTTCTCCGACTTAGAGGACATCCTTTCGAAGTCCTTGGCAGGACATGCCTGTGCGCTTGGGAACTCTTTTGAATCTTGGAAGGGCCTTTCTCTGTAAAGGACTGGTCAATCAACCAGATGACACGGCCATCATGGCTTAGCTTTGTCTCATCATTCCCCGTGCATTCTGCTGGGTCAACTTGTTCAAGAAGCGTTGAAACGACCTTTCTGGCCTTCTTGGGGCGCGAAGGGGTGCAGACACCCAGTTGGCACAAGCCTTGATCTTGTTGTGCCAGTACACGGTTGCACCTCCACCTCATCTGCTTCTGGCCGCCGCCAGTCGTACGTCACGGTGCTGAACTTCAGGTCGAAAATAATGAGATACGTGTATGCAGCTTGTTGATCATAGACTTCTGGTAAGAGTTGAGCTCCTGATACCTCAGAACCATTTCGGCCGGTCTCTGCCAAAGGTTCCGTTCTCAAGTAAGGCGCGTGCGCTGTAAGACGTGTACGCTCCCGACTGTCTGTCGGAGGCACTTCGCCACTCTATCCCCTTCGGCGTTGGCGTCAAACTGACGGCCGCGCACGCAGCGGGCTTCGTCAAGACAAAGCAGGCACACGTCCAAGAGTCCTCCCCACGGACACCTCCGCCTATGCGCAGCCACATCGAGCCGAGCTTGATTGCGCCACTGGCACTGTGCCATCCAAGCCATATCAAGCCATTAAGCTGATTTTCCCGCTGTGATCAGCAAGGAAATGGGTTTTGCAATCTGTTGACACACAACATCGACCCAGCGCAATAGATGGTCGTAAGACAAGTAATCCGGCAGCAACTTGCGCTCTCGGAGCCGTGAAGGAGCAACTTGTGCTCTCGCAGCCGGGAGGAGATGATAACTGGGCTCAAGCGAGTGAGGAAACACCGAGGGGTGCTTTAGTTTAGGAGGCCACTAGCGTAGTGGGTCGGGAAGCAGCAACGATGGGGGAACTTGATAGTTTAGTTTTATCTGGGCACCCTGAGTATACTGGTAGAGTCTGGTTGGCTGCAGCGATGGGCAACGTGATGGATGTGGCGGCGATTAGCAAGGGGCTCAGCGGAGGTTGCGCGGAGAACGTGAGTGAGGCAAAAGAAAGATATCAGACGCACACGCGGTCACGGCCTCAGCGCTCCAATCCTGCACAGAACCAAAGAGACACAGCTAGAAAGACAACTCCCGAACACGGGGGGGGCATATGGAGCATGTCTGTGATTGCTAAGGTGTCAAGCTGAACAGTCAGGGAACCCAGTGGGAATTGGATTGGAAGACACAGACGGTGTAAGAGGGTTGCAGGATGTACGAGAGTAGTGTTTGGGAACTTGTGCTCTCGGAGCCGAGAGTAGCGCCCTGATGGTTGATGGGATGTTGGATAGGGGGCGTGTGTGGTACGTGCAGGGGGATAGTCAAGAAAGGTTTCGCGCAGAGTTTTTCCGGGGGTCAAGATGGTTTTGGCGCCGCCCAGCGCAGTGCTTTGCTGTCAGCGCAGTGAGCTCAGACAGTGAGGATCCACGGCCTGACGCAGAAACAAATGAAGCAAAGTGGGTGCTAGGTCTCAGCATTCCGATCACTCGGTGCTAGCCAAAGAACGCGCAGCTGCCCGCCCGATCAGGTGCAACGCTGGCGATCATCCTGAGCAGCTCCGCTGTCTCGAAAAAAAGAACGGCGTGCTGCTCCGGATGCGCGCGATATCAATCACCTCTTTCCTTAAGAAGAAACTTCTGTGGGCAGCCTACCTGAATGTCCGCGATGTCGATAAAGCAGCCTTCCCTAGACAGCATAACCGGCATCGCGAACGTTTGGTCCAAAATCATATCAATATTTATCAATCTTCAAAAACATCAAAAGCCCTCACAAAGCCACCGTTTTCGGAACATGGAAGGGCACCCCCCAAGCTAAAGCTTATCGCGCCGATTAATCCAGCAGCACTCTTGCGGTTTATGCGAAGCCTCCACAACACCTCGACGCCTTCGGCGCGGGCGGATCTGTTTTTTCACTTGCGTGATGTGAGCAGCTGCAACAAAATGAACTCTCTAGTGACAATACCGATGCAGCTGATGCACGCAATGTCTTAGGCATTATTAGTTTCACCCATCAATGATGTGATAAAAATCTTTTGTGGCTACGATGTTGAAGCAGTCTGAGTCTGATTTGCCTATAATGTTTGATCACTTTGCCAAGAATGGCCTGACATGAGAGGCGTAGTGGTCTCCTCATAGGACTGGGCGACGTGCGTGCAGTGGTGGAGGAGGCATACTTGAAACATTTTTCATAGTCGAAGTGTTGTGCAATCGTGGAACAGAAAACTTTTTGACCTCAGGCTCGTGCCTTGCTTTTTGGGCCTCGAAGCCGTGCCAGACACTTTGTCGAAAGACCGAGAAAGGGTCAATGCAAACAGCAGATGATGTCAGCACGTCCTGCATGTGATTTACCTTGTTGACCGGAGTTTTCCTTCAGTGACACAGACACGGACAGATAGACACGCAGAGATTTCAAGATGTGTTTCCTCCAGGCCAAGGAACCCATGTCTCCTTGATTTGCCGCTTCATGAGGATCAGATCCGATTCTTGCGTGTGCTGGAGAATCAGAAACGGGCTTTAGCAGAGGGCGCAGGCCAAACCTTTGTTTGTGCTTCAATTGGGGTGCAGAGACGCATGACAGATGTCGGACAGTGGTCACATTCTGCACCTCGCACAGCACTACATACAACATACAGCGCTTATTGCCCATTGGCATCAGCAGGCATGTCGCAAGCAAGCAGCTTCCGGTGTTGGGCTAAAAGAAAGTCACAGTTGGCTACATGCTTTATCGTTGCCTTTCACCTAGGATGGTCTTTGTTGAGAGCGCCTTGTTGGCGCTGAGCCGGAACCTCGCCTCCAGGCACTGGTAGCATATTGGTTGCTTCGTGGGTTGACCACACGTGTTGCTCCAGTGTGAATTGGTATTCTGTCTGACTTCCTGCACAACCACGTATTTTAAGTTGATTTGGAAGGCTGTTTGAGATCCGAAAGCGCACCGAGCCAAAGTTGCGGGCGCCACCGGTCTTGCGGGAGCTGGGCGACCCATAAACGAAACATCGACTTAGCAGATGTTGACCTCTGGATTCCTTTTTAACTTTTAAGTTTACCGAGGCCTGACTTGGAGGAGGCATTCCGTGAAGCATTTGTTCGAGAATTCAACCTGGTTTTTGTTCGAAGGTTCGCCAACTCCGGCGCACACTGGTACGATGTGCCAGCCGGACCCTTATGGGATGGGCCGTTCAACACAGAATTGAGTAGGGAGAAGCCCCGGAACAGGGCGTAAAGAGACAGGGAAGGGAACTTGGTATGTGAACATGATATCCTGATCCAACCATTGAAAACTCTGATGTTTGGCTCTGATTGCAGTTGCCAGACCACTCTTCCCTTCATCATCCTTCATCATTGCATTGCGCAGTCGCTTTTGACATTTTCATCTACTTACTATACATCTGGTTGGCTTGAATTTGGTATTTGTTTTTGGTTCCTTGTCTCTCCACAAATAAGGTCACACAGAAAGTACTGCCAGTGTGATTGGAGACTTGCTATTCTTCACACTTATTTAGGTGAGGTTGAGACTTCCCAGCCGCTGTCTAGGAACCAATATTCCCATGCAGGCCTCAGCGACAGCCTTTGACACGTCATAAACTCAGGGGTCGAGAAAGCCCCATCATTGATTGTTGCTAAGGCCAAGCCTCTGCAGTGCCTGACGTCCAAGTGGAGTGGCTGTATACAAGTTTAGCTGGAGAATTGGAGGATGTTTGCAAGCTTAGAGCCTGCAAGAACTTGGATCTGCCGAGGTCATCTGCATTGCTTTCCCGACTAGATGGGGACGAGGCAAACGATTTTTTTCCTGGAGATTGGTGTTAGGTAGTAGCTTCTAATGTCAAGTTTCCCTAAAAATCTAGACACCAAATCATTAGTGTGAGCGCTTCTTCAAGGAAGCTTCCCCCGCCACCTTTAGGGCCGTGAGCTGTCCTGCGTCCAAAGTAGTAACTAAGTAGTAGCTACTTAAGCTACTAGCTACCTCTTAGCGGTCTCCCCCCCTCTAAAAAAGATAGGACTTTCAAAAATAATGAAAAATAGGTTTGCAAGTGCCTCACTGTGCTCTTCGAACAAAAGCAACCAGAGGCGAAGCTTTTGGCCGCCGGTGACACCGATCCTGCCAGACGCTAAATATGCAAATATCCCGATCCATTTCTGCAGTTGGCAATTGTATGTAGGCACCTAGTAGCGTCCTTGCTCCCAGTAGCGATGCCCTTTGCTCCTAGTAGCGTCCTTGCTCCTAGTAGAATGGGCATGATAGCGGCTGATAGCGGGTTGGAGTTCTCTTAGGCTTCACATGATGAGTGGGAGGCCTTACTGGAGTCGTACCTTCAGGCGGTGCAAGTCGCATACGCGTGAACTCACACACGCAAGCGTGCATGCACAACTACAAACGACGGATGGACATGTGACCCAAACCTGCCAATGTGTGAAAGCTCAACAAAAGGTGATCCAATCTGACTTAGTTTACTTTGCTCTTTTGTTTTGAACTGGTTGTCAGTTATCAGCGAAGGATTTGTTTCAAAGCTTGGCCTCCAGGCATACAGTGAGCTATCCAGGCAATGCACCTCCCTGCTCCAAGATATCGAGGACAGGCTGGAAGCAGTACAATTCAGTACGAGCCTTCTCGAAGATTTTGCAGATTTCTACAATATCTTTAGAGTATTGGAGGACTTTGAAGGCTCAGCAAGTTTGGCACTCCAGGCGTGCGAATGTGCTTGTTATGCTTGCGGTTATAAGTTATCATGATTGCTTGTGCCAAACAAAGGGTTTAAACTACTTCGCCAAACTTGTGCGAAAATTTGTTTCTTGGCCAGGCTAGGCGACTGCGGGTGGAGCAATTTGAGCTGAGCCTGGTGCGCTCTTGAGTGATTTGACTTGGCCTCCACATTCCACGAGTAGATTTGCTGTATACTTGGGACTTGAGTCGGCTCTTTCGTTGCTGCTAAAGTATTTGTCACTTGACTCAGACATGAAATGATTACAAGGCAGAGACAGAAGATTCGAGTCCCCCAAAGACACAATTCATGGACACTCACTAATGTGTCAAACCAACATTTGCGCACTGGGGCGTGCATGTTCGTAGTGCGCAGGTTATTGCTTCGGTATCCATTGCAGCAGGTGGAATTGTACCTGGCTGCACCCTCAGTGCCACTAGATCACTAGATTCTCGAGTTGGTGTGTTGGCGCATCGATGTCAATGCCTATAGATGATAGTGTGCCAGGGGCAATGGGCATGAATCTCGTGAGCGGATACGAGTCATCAGAGAGGCTCTCAGACACTTGAACCTTCTACAGTCCCAGGGTCATGCTTACATGCCTTTCGGCTTCAACATCAAGCTTAAGATGCTTTAGCAAAGTTTTGCAACTCCTTCCCTCCCTCGGATTGAGTGCTGCAAGGATGTGGCATTTCGTATAGCCCTTTTGATCACCGTCTGTGTGGCTGGGGACTTGGCAAGAACGCAGCATACAAATGCTGTGCGTGCACTTGTCTATATTTTGTAGCCTCGTAGAAAGGTGCCAAGGCACTAGTCTAGATTTAGATGTCCCAGCAGCCTTGCAGTTCAAGGGATGCAATTTGGAGGCAAAGTGTACACACGAAGCCTGCACGTGAGCTGTGTGGCTTACAAGAAGAAACGCGTGCAATTCTACTCATGCCACATATTCAGCCACATTGCGAGGTGATTTGCCTCTTCTTGACCATCAGATTTCTAGCGGCCCGACAGGGGTTTCTTCTGTAGTGCTTGCAGATCCACACAAGCTTGGACCAGACCTTGCCTTACTCAATGCAAAGAGAGAGCTTGGGAGCAATGCAGCTAGCTTCAAACCTTGTTGGATCATGGCAGCTTCTGTGTGTTTGTGCAGTCAAGGATGGATTGAAGTGCTTTTTGCACAAAACCTGCAGCAAAGAACGACAGCACAGTGCATACTTTGGATCGCAGGTCTCAGCGGCCCGGCTCCAAAGCCTGCGCCTCCAACCGCTGGCGTTTAGAAAAAATGTGAAACGAAGCCATTCATCCCAGCTTGTTTTGCTTCTCAACACTCTTTGGCAAGTTCTCCAACGGCCTTTGAATGGCGTGCACGTGGCTCATCAGATGATTTTAGATGTGTACGTGACATGCGAGAAGCCCAATTACGATACCACACTACTGTTGACCGCTGCAGGACAGTTGATTGTATTTTGTACATTTGCTTACAACCCCAACTGTTGTTTGTTCATAGGTCCCGTCCCTTCTCCATATAATTCTTACCTCGATCTTACAGAACAGCAGCAAACAGCAGCACATTCTTTCTTCATTTTTCTTCAGACATATTCGAGGAATTTGACATTCTCAAGAATACAGACGAGAATAAGTGACTGTAAGTAAAGCGACAGAAAGCGTTTTGAGCTGAAAGCGTTAGGCTCAATGAGGTGTGCGAAGCTCAGTGAAAAGTACAGCGACCGTTCTCCTAAAGTTCTTTAATTCAGCGCCACGGCACGAGGCTCATGATGGAGCTGGCTTCATAAACTGGACTGATATGGCTTTGCACGTCTATGTACAGTCTGAGTATGACACGCAGAGTGTCGCATTGGTGAGAAGCAGAGTCGCAATGTGAGTGCCTCTCGCAGGATGTGCCCTTCTAGAGGCTCTCGCCGAGGCTTCCTGTGGCTTTGCATTCTGTCCTGTGGCACCGCTGCTGGATCGCCATGTCCACATGTCGAATCGGAGGGGCAGGCCAGAGATTGCAGTTCAAAAGTTCACACGAAATGCAGAGGGAGGAAAGGAGGAGGGATGCAAAGTCAAGGAATCAGTATTTCAAAAAGCGCTGATAGAATTGATCTGATATAGTCACGACTTAGTGTAAGACATATATCATATGCTTTATTGCTGGGACAGCTGGAGGATACTGTACTTGTGGCGTAGCATAGTTTTGAAGCCCCGAGCACGCACTGCTGTCTGACAGTCCCTCATTCAATTTGCTCATGATACAAGCTGTCCGACATTCTACGTTCCAGTGGCCGACCAGGACTGACACCTACAGTAGACAACGTGTCCTTGCAGCTGTACTGTTGCAGTCATTTTGAATCTCAAATATTTCATGCAGAATGGAATGGAATTTTGTGAAATTGATTCCTTACCAGCACATGGAGACTGACAGGAGGGCTGCCCTCATGGTAGGCTGACAGGATCAGCGTCAAAGGGGAGCGCCTTGTTGGCCAAACAAAAGGTTTGTGTGGCTCTGTTGTTTTTGAACGTGCGGATCTTGTGGTTCCACACACATTTTGATGGCCTCCAACCTACTAGCGATGACCTCCACCCTAATAGCGATGGCCTCCAGCCTAATAGCGATGGCCTCCAACCTAGTAGTTTTTGGTCGTGCGGATCTTGTACTTGATGTTGCTCTGGAAATTACTTGCCTAGACTTGCAAGCCATTGATGTGCGGGCTGTCTATTACGTGCCACGGCCGATCGGCGTCTCATCTGGTGACAAGGACTGTTTATTGCAAAGTGGGTTTTTGCCTGTTTGGCTGATGCCAGTGCTTTGTTTTTTTGTGCATTGTGAGGGACGCGCTGCAGGACGTCTACACGGCGACCTTCCAAAACCTGCACAAACGCGATCTGTACCTTATAGCAAAGGTGCTTCACGCGAACGCTGTGGTGCTGGAACCGTGGAATGCGAAGGACTGTCCAATTGAAACCTCGAGTCCTTCAAGCCTCGTGAGCCCTTTATGCAAGGAGAATCACAACATCTTCCTGGAGCTTTGCAGGCCTTTTTGAAGTGTTTGTCTAGCTAATTCGCTTCCAAAAGGCCCAGTGCTCCGGCTTGCAAAAACACTGCTGGTGTGAGGAGTTTCGGTCTTTTTGTCGTTCCGACCTTTGACCTCAAGTACTTTTTTCAGGTGCGATGTTGCAGAATCAGAAACGTCAACTCTCCAGCATGATCCATCTGAAGAATTTGCACATTCCTTGCCGACAACAGTGACTGATCACTGATCTTGGATACATTTGAGACCCCAGCCTCAGTCCTACACCCTCAACACATTCTGATGGTGGTGTGCTTGCTGCTGACATGCAGACACAATCCACCCAACATTTGATTAAGATACATGATGGTGATGGTGATACTATGGCAATAAAGTAGTTGTAACAATAGTCACGAAGACTTCTCAACAAGACTCTCCCAGATAATGATCAAAAGCCTGTCGCAGGAAGAATGGTTGAAGCGAGACTCTTTGGAGCGGGAGAAAGAAATGCTCAAACATTTTGACAACCTTTTGCTCAGTGTTCCAGCCTCAGACTCGCAGCTCAGTCCCCAACCAAGACACCAGTCAATTTTTTGCCAAGTTCATTGCGGCTCGACAAACCAATTGCAGGTGCAAAGTACAGATCCGATTCTGGCATGGACGGTGAACTTTGGCCTGGCGTTGAATGAAACTATTGCCACGACTCCCTCGGACGGGCTGCAGCGATTTGCATTCTCACTAGACTAGACTTGCTTGTGACAAGCCAGAGACGTATCATCGGAACAGTGTATACAAGGCCTTTTGGAATTGGGGGGGGAGCAGCTTGAAGGCTCAAACAGGACTATTCCCTAGACAGGCGCTTTGCGTTTGATTGCGTTTGTATATTCGTAAACTGTATACTTGACCCGCATTTGATCTCCATTGATATCCTGAAAGGACTCTTGGCAAGGAGATGATGCCAGGCCGGTGTTCATAGTCATCAGCAATGGTGTTTCACGGACAAAGTGACTTGATTTGGACTAGGCGCCAGGTCTACTTCTCCATGGTGACAGCTCTGAGGAGAGGCCACTACAGGAGAGAATGGCAGGAGGACTGGATGGATGTGCTTCATTTGGAACGTCCGCGTCTCATGATGCAATATTTTGTCAAGTGATCACGCTTGAGGTGCAATGCTTTCTGGGGCCCTTTCAAAAAAAAGGCCACATTTCGGAGTGAAAAAACGGCCGCGCAGTGAGGTCTTAATTTTATACATTTCTAATTTCTACTGTTGGTTTACTGTAACTGTTCTGGTGGAATACGTGGACATGCATTAGTAACATGTTTGCATCGCTTTTGCACGGTGTTCCCAATCAAATTCCTCTCTGAGCAGCTTTAAATGGGAGCGTGTGCATTGGGCTTTCTCGATGGCCACGCCATGGCTGCTTGCAAGTTCTGTCCCACGCAACACACGGTGCACCGAGATAAATATGACTTGAACTCGAAGCAAATACTGGCATCAGATCCGGCAGGTTCGAATTCCGACAACTTGCAATCCAGGCAGTTCACCCCGGCTGTGATATGACGCAAGGCCAGATACCTTGGCGGTGCAAACTGTTCAGAAATACAGCGAGCTGCTCGGCTGGTCACAGGCATTTGTATACTGCAAAAAAGGGTCAAGGTTGTGACTTAGCAATCATGTGTGCCAAGTATGCATGCAACGCACCACTTGCTGAGTTTTTGGCATTTTCACAAAACCTCTGAGCTCCGCAGTCTTGGGTTGAACCTTCAAACTGCGGTGCTGATACTGCCAATCCAGTGAGATCCTGCATGAATGCACAGGGCCTGTATAACATCTGCAGAGATTACTCTGGTGTTACTCTTACGGCTTCAAGTGTCACAAGATTAGACTCCAGGGTCTCCAGCAAAACTGAACCTCCGACATTTGCCACTAAGTCTTAAAGCCTTGCACACCCACAATGTCTCCTTTCTTCCATTCATCATTCTGCTTGCATGCTTGCATCGGCACATTTCAACACCCATGGTTGCAGGAGCAAAAGTCATTTCAGCGGCCGCTCTTATTGCCAGTTGATCTGGATTCCAGAAGATCTGAGACAGACGTTGCGTGGTACATGGCACTGGCAGTGGCCTCAGCTGTTTGGATCAAACGCATGACACCCTCTTCCGCGTCACACAAAGGCAGCTGTCTCCAAGACGTCTCACAAAACCGGTTTGTTTGAGGCAGAAACTGCTTGGGCTACATGGCCCACTGAGATCAAAGAAGCTCAGGATGGGTATGGTTGAACAATCATGTAACATTTTACATAACTCGGTTAGACCTGTCTTGGACACCACAGGTGCTGCAACGATTACATTCATTGTTTTTTAATTGTATAGACTTTAATTCTAGTGACAACCAAGCAGACTTGCACTCGAAGGCAGTGGTTGGATTGTTTGCATTTGAGGAGCTTAAGAGCCTTCAAACGCTTGGAGCATTCGACGGTTGGATTGGCTACACCACCCCACCTAGCTCTCATCTAGGCATCATAGACACCAACAATCAGGTGGGCTTCATCAATGCTTAGGCTTGCAAGTGGAGATGTTTCCGTTTCAACATGTTTCAACCACAGATTGAGTATTTTGGCGCGGCAGGCAGCTGTAATGACGATGTTTGCGGGAGATACCTCAAAAGCACCGAAAGACTTGTCCCCCTTTCCAAAGTGCTTGAAGGCAGGAGCTCGGATTTGCCACAAGTCATGGGTTCTGATTTGCACAAGCAAGCATGCTTTTCATAGACCACAGATTCAGATGACCACGTCTGAATTCACCCGCACAGGAAGAAAGTGGAGTAGGCGGGCTGCAGGACCTGCCATTGAGATTTGAATTTGGAACTCCGTAGAATTGCCTCCATCCTAATAGCGATGGCCTCCAACCTAATTGGAATGGCCTCCAACCTAGAAGCGATGACCTCCAACCTAATAGCGATGGCCTCCATTTGAAGAAGTCTTAGTAGAGTAAGCTGAGAATATATTGTCTTGCAAATTGTAGTGCTTCTCTGCGAGGTTGCAAATACAGAAGCAACAAGATCAAAATCTTGCAGTTCGGCTTCAGCGCCCTGCAGCCATCTACAGAAAAGTATTTGAAGATGGAGGTGGCCTTGTGAGACTCGATTGAGAGACACTCGATTGAGCATAGAATACACCCACTGCAAGCCTCATGTGTTCAGGTGAATGCTGAAATGCAACAGAAACTCCTTCTGGAGGTGGGATGGGTCGATCATCTCTGATCCGCTTGTGTATTTAGAGAACGTCGGAAGAACTGTGTGTGGGCAGGTCTGGAACAACAGGATCAAAAAAAAGTGGCTTGACGTGGTATTCAGCACTTCTTGCAGCGCTTGGTCTCACTCATTCTCGTTGTTTGTGTTTACTATGTTTTGTTCAAGAAACTCAATCTTGACGGTCCTATTCAGGATTATGTTTGCACTATACAAAAAAGGCATGAATAATAAGAACAACCTGAAAGGACAATCCAAGAAGGTATCATACCACCGAGCTCATGTTGACTGTGAGAGATTGGTCGGATAAAGCCGTTCCAGCAACTTCAGTGGTTGTCGATGCGAGGAGTTTTCAATGTACTTTGGCCGGTGTAGTCATCGATCAATGGGCTGATGATTGGGACAGATGCGCGGCGCAGAGGGGCTTGCAATCCAATCCGTTCTCTCAGAGCCCTGGTTGTGAAGAAATGTGAAACAAGGAGAAACAGATAAATTCAGACAATCAGTGGCAGATACATGAGACTAAGATGCTTGAGATATTATACTCTAGTTGAATTGCGAGGTCAACTAGACCTGGACCTGGAATCACTCCCCTGTCTCACTGAGGAACATTGGTGGCATTTGCGATGATGTTGCCAATGACAAGCGCCGACACCTTGAGTGGTACGGTCTCAGTGCCCAATACGACTCATTCGGGAGCCCATTCCGTGTCGTTGTTACATGTGTCACGTGACGCGGTAAAGACACCAGAGCTGGATGTCACTATTCCCCCTTGCAGGACACATTGCATTGACGCTCGATTCTTGCCGTTTGGCAGTTGGAACCTCAAACAAAAGAACACATTTGCTCCTTTTTCACTGTTTCAATGCAAGTGTGCAGCTTACATGGACAACTGGGCAAAGACACTCTTGCAAGACACTTGTAGCAAGTGCAAGACCGTCCAAGACCTTTTGCCCTTGACAACTTGTGAGAGATCTTGTCCCAAGGCAACGTGTGGGAAGGCTTCCGCTTTGAGGACTTGCAGGGCTATGACTGATTTTGCGAAAGGGAAAGAATGAATCACCATGTCCGTAGCGCCGTAGGACAATTTTGGAGTTTCGTTACCTTTAAGCTATCCAAGAACATATTCTGTATGGCACGGATTTGTTTTTCCATTCAACCGGATAATCACTTCATTGCTGCACCTTTCGCATCGCCTGGCAGTCAAAAACCTCTCGGTCTTTCCACAGGGCTCACAATTGTGGCTGCTCTTTCTTTTGCAGGAAGCGCAAACAGCTAAACAGTTGCTGGAGGATGCAGCTGCAGTGGACTTTTGAGACACAATTGCCCACTGGCATATTCATGACCAGGGGCTCCTGGCCCTACTACTAGCACCAAAGACGCTACTAGGGGCTCCTCGCATCGCTACTAGGAGCAAGGACGCTAGTAGCGATGCCAGTAGCCCCTAGTAGCTTCTTGTTCCTAGTAGTAAGGCCAGGAGCCCCTAGTAGCGTCCTTGCTCCTAGTCCGAAAAGCACGGACCTGCAGGATCCGGAGTTTAGCGGCTTTTGCCATCGGTTGACGCCAAGCGCTTATCAGGCTCGCTATCGATCCCACGAGCAGGTCATGTTCAGCAGGTCTAGTATCAAGTCAAGCCCAAGATGAATGTAAAAGCCCAAGATTGACAAGGCTTCACCCTCAACAATACACTTGTCTTCCACAGGTCCAAAATATAGCAGATCTGTTAAATGCCACGCTGAGCTTTCTTTCAAGTGACCCAAATCCAGGTGACACTTACTGCTTTGGGCATTCTTTTGCTGACGGTCATTCAGCACGTGGCTGAGCGCTTCATTCATCCGGAACATGTCACTGCTCGCTCCATTTGAGAAAGCCCACTCTCGGCTGCAATGATATGAGGTGCTACCGAACATGGAACCTCTGCAGACGCGGCAGAAGCGGGAAGAATCAACAGCAGGCTAGGACATGCGGAGCAATGTTTGACCTTCGCTCGTTTTTGTCAGCAGTTTACTTTACGAGCGAGGACTTCAAGCTGGTTGTCCTCCCTGCATTCCCATATAGTATCAACGGTTTGTAGAAGCTACAGTATATAATCTCCCTGCTGTTGTCGCTGCTGCTGTTCCTGACCACGGACTCCTTTGTCGCTGCCCTGGCAGCTCAAAAGAGAGGGCACACTCGTATCTACCTTTATAACTCCCCAAATGTGGAGTTCGGAGTTTGAGACAAATCTGGAAAGTTTCCCACACAAGTCTTTGTGTGAAGATCCAGCTTGGGATACTGCAATTGAACAGCTACTGGAGCCGATTGGTTGGGCCAAAATCAAGTTTATTTTTGTTCTACCTGTTTCGTCAATATTCACTGACACACAAGCTTGAGCCAATGCAGGCAGAAACGGAACTCATGGCTGTGGCCTCAGATACTTCCGGGCTAGAATGCAGCTTGTTGGCTCAGCGAGCAAAGAGGTAAGCATTTTGTCATGTTCAGAATCAGAACTTCAGGATTGCTAGCAGAGTGCACCCAGCCGTGTGATCAGGAAGCAGCAGGTCAATCTTCCCGTGAAAGTGAGCCTGGCATGTTTGGTTTCAGTGCGACTTCCTGAGCCCTTCAGATGCTCTCCTCAAGGCGTTGCCACTCGTATGTCGCGTGCACGGCGCACGGTTGCTGACATAGACGTCATGAACCCAGGCTCTAGATCACTTGACAAACTTGAATGTATATGGCAACTCATGAGAATCATGGGGATCGTCACGTAATCTCCGTGAGGGCAGGTAGTTGGGGCCCAGCTTCGCCGTGATGTCTGCCTTTGCGGCGTGCTGGCGGGTCTCACTGACCCGGAGGTGGCAACCCTGGCAGAGCTCGGGGTGGACCGCGACCAAGCTGGCTACGCTACGTGGCTGTCTCGAGAAGGTCCTGGAGGAGGTGGACCCAAAGGTCATGAGGGAGATGATCGAGCAGTGCGACAAGCGCTCGGTGAACATACACCGGGCGGACGCTGGAAGAGGCTCTCAAGATTTGCTTGAAGCACACCTGCAACACCAAAGGGAGAAGAGGCGCCGTGCTTTCAGTGACCTGGAGGAGGCCGAGCTCGTTGAGAAGGTGGCCATGGTTGGGACTGCCAAGAGAGTGAAGTGGCCGACTAGGCTTGGGAGGAAGCTTCACTTGGCAGGCTCGGATTTAGCCTTGAGGGAGCTGGCCGAGAAGACCGAGCGTGATCGATGGCTTGGTGAGTTGAGGAACATCATGAAGGAGGCCAAGCTCCCGGTGGCTTTGAGATCCTCGGAGGAGTCCCTGATGCTGAGGATCGCCAAAGGATGACGTCCGAACACGTTGAGGAAGCATGTCAAAACGTGGCACAAGGTGTCGGTGTGGCTGCAATCTACGTTCGGCCGATCCTGGCCGTCATCTCCGGAGGAGTTGGCAGAGTACATTGAGGCTATCGTCCAAGAGCCCTGCGCCAGGTCAACGCCTGAGGCCATCTACAAGACATTCATGTTTCTGGAGTTCGCTGGCGAAGTGGAGGAGTCCAAGCTGATGCACAGAGCGGCGGCCTTGAAGAATGCCATTGAGGAGGCCAACGTGAGGCTGGCGATGGTCGAGATGAGGCCGTCGAGGCAGGCGAAGTTGTTGCCACTGGCGATTGTGACGGCCATGGAAGAGATCGTGACGGATGAGACGTGCAAGCCCATCTCCAGGGCCATGCGATTTGACGACACCCGTGGCACGCCCAACAGGTCGCTGGAGCTGAGGGAGTCGCACCTGGTCGGAGTGATCCACAAGTCGAAGACATCGGGACCGGGAAAGAAGATCCTTTTGCTCCCCTTCTACATCTCTAAGGAAGCCTGGGTGTCGAGGTCAGACTGGTTGATGGTCGGGTTCCGGCTTTGGAATCAGATGCGAATGGAGGCAGGCATTCTCACACGAGATTTTATGTTGGCCTGGCCGAATGTGAGGGGGAATGGATTTGTGCGGCGCATGGCTGACTACTCGACCATCAGCTATGTCACAAGCTTTGTTCGGAGAGCTTTGGAAGTTCGTGGACGGCAGGAAGGAGACTCTGCTCTTCGACGGAGTTGGCGCAACGTGGACAGAACATAGCGAACGAGCGACCTTGAGAACTTGGTCGCAGGCTGCAAGGATTCCATCTGACATCAGGCGACAGATGGGCAGGTGGCGTCCGAGTGCCGGTGAAGGCTGTGAGCGGGCAGCGCGAGCAAACATCTTGCGAGCGCAGCGGGTGATCGCTGCCTTCATCCGTGACAACGTCGGCAGGGGAGATCCCTTCGACGAGGGGCTGGTCATTGATTCAGTGCAGCTGAAGATGGAGCTGCTGGGCTATCCGGAGGAGGCAGTATACCGGAACAGAGCCGGCTGCTGACATCCTTCGATGCAATAGCTGGCGACCAAAGTGGACACCCTCAGGTCCCGTTGTCCTGGTCGAGCCGAATGAGGACGAGGTCGAGCAGGTCGTGGGCGATGTGGAGGAGACCGCTGGCTTCGAGTCTGAGGGGGAGCCGGGCATTGGAGAGGCCAGTGAGGTTGTGCAGGCAGAGGCCATTGCGGGCTCGTGACGTTCGCAGCGGACATTGCGCAGGGTCGGAGAATGTCACCGACAGCCAGGCGTGCGTGACGCCCAGTTTGAGATCCTAGGAGACGAGCCCCCAGACCCGAGCAAATATCATTGGGCATGTAAGAATTGTTTTGGCAAAAACGCCACAGCAGCGGCGGGGTCCCCGGCTACTCACAGGTAGCAGTCAGTCACGGACGGCAAGACCACTGGCGCTCACGCTGCCCACCTATATAGAGGAGCTGGGGCAATGACCGTCCAAGGGACATGGAGAAGGGCAAAGGCAAGTCCCGCAAAGGCGGCAAAGGCAAAGGAGGGAAGAAAGGCAAGTACCGTGATCGCACCCCGGATGGGAGGCAGATATGCTGGAAATGGAACAACCCCCGTGAGAGGTGCCGATTTGCATGTGGCCGGCTTCATGTGTGTCGCGCATCCCTCACACGCTTGCGACGGCAGTGGCAAGCCGAAGGACACAGCCGGCAGCGCCGCAGAGGGCGGCGGTCGCTCTGCCTGACAGAGCGGTGCGGTGGAACCGGTTTCAGGTCCACCTGAGATTGCGCAACGAGGGGCGCACAGAATTCGGTTGCAGGAGCCAAGAAGTCCCTCAACGTCCTCTACCTCTCCAGTGGTGCACAGCGCAAGTCTTCGGTTACCTCCAAGCTAGTGGAGATGTGCAGGCAGCAGGGCATTCAATGCATCGTTCATGAGATTGATATCCAGAACTCGCCCGAGTGGGACCTAGCAAAGAAGGAAGTACAAGGAGGTCTTCTTGCGGGGCAAACTGGCGGGGACCTCCAATGATACGCTCCCGAAGCTATCCATGGGGCTTTCCATGGTTAGCGGCAAGGCATCAGAGGGACGCCGAGGTCGGCAATGTTCTGGTCATCTTCATGTTTCAAGTTCTGGAGACGCTGCAACTGCACCCTACCTCGAGAGCAGGCTACATTGTCCTGATCTTTGCCGAGCATCCCGAGGACCTGGGCATAGCATGGCGAGAGGAGGACCAGATGCTCATCGACCCAGCTTCAACATGGCAGCTGGACAGAATGAGGGCTCTCGTGGCAACAGACCTCCCGCTGCGCTTGTTCACCTTGGTCTTCAACCAATGCTGCTGGGGTGCGCCTTACCGGAAGCCCACTCGATTGCTGACCAACTTGCTGCCATTACGCGAGTGGGGTCCTTGCCAGTGGCCAATTCGATGCACATCGAAACTATTTGGGCCCACAGATCACTGCCTGTCGATGTCGGCCCACGGTCACCCTAGCTCGAGGACCACAAGATTCGTCGATCAGGACCTCCACAACGTCCGCCTACCCTGAGCACATGGACCATGCCCTCGCCCAAGCGATCCTGGTCACCTTCATCAACGCCCCTCTCTCCACTAAAGAGGGGGATCGAAGCGAGGGGGATGATTCAGGCCGAGTTCAGTGATGGAGCCCTAGATCTACCAGATGGAGGACGAGAACTACCAGACCAGGGAGGTCGTGAAGGGCAGTGGAAGACTTCGATCTCGAGAGTGAAAAGGTCCAGCCAAGAAGACAAAGAAGAGGCCCCGAAGAAGACTTTGTCTGGAGGTCATCCGGGTGCAGGGCCTCCCATGCAGGTCAGCCACAAAGGAGAGAATGAGGGCCATCCATGATGGAGCTGGGTTATGCTCGCCTGGCCGGTGGCCAGTGAAGCGGAGGAAGCGTTCAAGATCCGAAAGAGCGAGGTCCACATGCTCTTGGTTCGTGGAGGCGTTCGACACCTGGTTGGCCAACATTGGGGAGGAGGCAGCAAAGGGTATGTTTTGGAGGATGGCGGCTGGAAAGGTGGACAAATCCCCCTTTGACGAGGGGGTGGCAGAAGCTCGCAGAGATTTGGATCGCCGTCTGGGAAGATGGGGGCTGGACCCATTCAGAAAGGAGTCGGATCGACAGACGGAGGTGAACTTCCGCAGGCTGGCAGCTTTGGCGGTGGCGCTGGACGACGAGGATGCGGACTTCCTTGGCGAGGTGGCCTCGAAAGGGGTCAAGTTGGGAGTTGAGGTGAAGATGCCTCGTACCCCACTGGTTTACGAGGAGAAGACCAGTAGGTCATGCAGGACATCTTGGCGGAGAACTATATGAGTCGGCGGAGGAGAATGCGGAGGACATAGCGAGGCAAGTGAACCAGGAAGTCGAGAAGGGCACCATCGTTCGGATGCCGGAGAAGGAGGCTCGGGAGCGCTACGGCGGGAGGCTGGCCGTGGCGGCGTTGGGAGCAGTTCCCAAGGAGTTGGGGACAAAGAAGGTGAGGCTGATCCATGATGATGGTATACCTACAGTGTTGATGTCAATCGACGCGTCCGAGTTCTCGACCGGATGAGGTTTCCCTTGATAGACGATGCGGCTGCCATTCTGAGGCAAGTGCACGCAGGAGGAGGTTGAGCAGAGGCGGGGAGAGGAGCGCTTCTCGGTGCTCTACGACATCGCTCGAGCTCACAAGCTGGTGCCCGTGGTGGAAGAGGACTGGGGCCTTCAAGCCTTCCGGATGCCTGGCGAGTCATCGGGAGATATCTTCACGCACACCAGGGGCACCTTTGGGATCGCTAGTGCAGAGCGTACTGGTTTGGCCGGGCGATAGCTGTGGCCGTGAGGTGTGGTCATCGACTGCTAGGCCGACTTCACGGCCTGCTGCATCTAATCTATGCGGATGATGGTTGGCTCACGGCGATTGGCAAGGACTTCTGGAGGAAGATACTGATGTGGTTCTTCGCCTTCGAACTGATGGAGATTCCGGTGACGTGGTCGAAGGTGAGGGGTGGCACGCAGGTCGACTGGATTGGCTATTGCCTGAACGTCTATGACTACCAGAAGGGCATTAACCAGTCGAAGAGGGACTGGATTGTGGCTTGGATCGAGAGAAAGACGGCGCAGGGAGGAGTGGTTGGACGAGAGCTCAAGTCGGTAGTTGGCCGACTGAGCTCGGCAGATCGAGATGGTTCTCGTTTGGTCTGAATCGGACGAACGCTCCTTGGGCATACCTTAAAGGGCACCCATTCAGGAACATCGCTAGCTTGGAGCTCATTGGAGTGCTGGTGGCTGTCATGGTGTTTGCTCCCGGAGCTTCTTGGGCGAAGGGAGGAGCTGCGGTGACTTTGTCCGCCTACACGGACAACCTGGCCAACACCCACGCGTTGAAGAAGTTTGGCTCCAGCAGGTATCCTCTTTCCATTGTGGCTATGGAGTTAGCTGCTCAGCTGGACTTGGCAGGTATTGATCTGGAGCTGCAATGGGTTCCGAGAGGTCAGAACCAACCGGCAGACGACCTGACCAACCAGAAGTTCGATGACTTCAATGAGGCGAACCGGTTGGAGGTTGTCTTCGAAGAGATTCCGTTCAAGGTGATGACAGCTCGATGAGGAGCTCAAGCTCTACAAGACGTCCAAGGAGGCCAAGGCTGCGCAGCTGGCTTCTTCGTCGACGCTGGGGAAGAAGGCCAAGAAGGGCGAGCTGCGATGGAAAGATCCCTGGTGAGGACTGTGGGGGTTTGTGTTCAAGAAACTCGGGTGTTCCCTCAATAGGCCGGGCAGTGTTAAAGGGCGGGGGAGGTAGCGCAGACCTCGCTTCGTCTAAAGTTGGGGGAAACAGGCAAAACAAGGTCAGGCACTTCAGAAAACCTTCCTTTGAGACAGAAAGGGGGGTGAGTCATGCCTGACGTCCCACGGCTGTCCATGGAAAAGCCATGGGCAGTGAGCACGCGACAGGACTTCGAGCGCAACCCTTTGGAAAAGCAGCCGCGTGAGCTGAAGTGACATATTATATATATATATATACACAAAAGTCTTAAAAGCGGTTTCGTCATTTATCCTTTCCACTTATATATGCTTTTGCAAAAACAATCGAGTTCTGAAAGCTCTGGCATGCCTTGCGCAAGCTGCTTCAGCTGAGGTTGTGGTGACTCCACCAAGCTCAGGGTTGCCCACATCAGCTTCATCAGCTTCGACCCAGGAGATCCAACGCATACCAGAAGAACAGTCTCAAGAAAAAAATAGAAGGAGAAAGAAAGCGTTTGAAGACAAAAGAAACACTTTTCTCCAAGCACAGGAGCTGTCTCCTCATTCGATGAGTGCGCCTTGCAGCATCGCTCCTTCGAGCATTGCAACTGAGCCAGAGGAGTGCGCTCGCCTAGTTGCTTGCGTAGACAACAGTTCGATGATTTTTCTTCTAGCTGGGTCGCCGTAAAAGACGACAAATGAAAGCACTGAAAGCACCAAACCTACTTTTGCCCGGTTTTCCTAAGAATCTATGAGCCTAATCATTAGCGTGAGCCATCCTGCGTCCATATGTACTAGATTGAGCAGCTAGGAACGTTTTCCCTTACTTAATTAAGTAGGCGCCTACTTAGTTCAGTAAGGAGGCAGGGCCACGGGCTTAAAAAGGAGAAACCTAGTAGCAGTAGCGACTCTTACGGCCTACCTCCCTGCACTTCCCCCTTAAAAAGAAGGTCTTGGAAGTAAAAAAAGAATCCGAGAGAGAGGCATCCTGAATGTCGCTGAGGTCCAGAGGCCGCGTGCCCTTGGCGCATGTGAGCATTGCCATGCAGGCCGGATCCGTGAGCTACGGAGAGTGTTGAAAGTATCTAGTGACTCGTGTTTAGAGATGCAACGGCTACCACCCGTATTCACATGCATGCACGACTTCTGGATTTTGTGGCCAGCTGACACAAGGCCACATTGAAAGATATTAATTATGTAAATAGATGCTTTCAGGGAGGCCAGGACTAGGAGCATTTTTCCTTGACTCTACCGGTTTCTGACAGAAATGCTTTTCAATAGAGTCGTTACAATGTCACTACTTTCTCACGGGAACATTTTGCGGCACTCAATCGTCGAGGCTTCTTCCTCTATGCTTTCTGGGTTCTTTTGGCGTTTTATTGTTGAGTTTGCTTCTGCTATCGGCTCTCTTGCTCTTCCTCCCTCTTGCTAGTCTGCTCTTCTTCAAGTGCAGGGCATGGTATGGACTCCAGTATGGACATCCTGTAGTTTTGAGCTTCTTGGGGTCGATTCTATTGACTCGTTTGCCCCGTCTCTTGGCTCCAGATACCTCCTCAGCTTAGTGGAACAAGAGAGCAGGCACGCGTTGTATGGAGCAGGGGTGGATGTGGGGAAAAGTTGCGGTAATGGAACGAAACAAATACTGTATATATATATATACAGTATATATATTATATATACATGGTTCACGGAGTACATTTCACATGCTATGTTCAGCCTTCGCCTTTCCAATCAGCGGCAAGGCTGGGTCTTCTGGAAAGGACCTTGCTGCCAAGCTGTATTCAAGCCTTTTGTGGTTTAAATGTTATTTGCGAGGAAAATGGTTGCAACATCGTTCTCACATTGCAGGCAGGATTTTATCAGGTGCTTGCAGCGAATCACAAATTCAATGTGTGGGACTTTGCCATGCATCCAGTCCATTTTTTATTTTTGGTACACATACCCACAGACATTGCGTGGGCATGGAGAACTTCCTGTTCTTTAACTATCACATGTCCGAACCAACTTTATCTATTTTTGCAAAGCAGATGACTTTAACATGTGTGTTTTCCAAATCACCAAACACATGCAGGGACAATGGTGCGGCAGTTGATTGGAACTATATAAAATGTACCGCACTGTTTGGAAGAGACTCGCTCGTAAACAGTGCTATATAATTCAATGAATCGGTACCTCGTTTGATTTCGATCACTATTGAACAGATCCAAGGAAGGCCTCGAGGCAGCCCCTCGAAATGAACAAATCATCGGACGCTTATTATAGGACGCTACTAGGGGCTCCTGGCCTTACTACTAGGAGCAAGAACGCTACTGGGGGCTCCTGGCATCGCTACTAATAACAAGGGCGTTATTTATACAAGTTCTATTCAGGTCGCTTCGCGACCACAACCGCCCGCACTAGTGGCTCTCAGAGAGTGGGTAAAAGAAGTATCGATATATATATATATATATATATAAGCACTCTATTTTGGGACCCTTTGATACATTGTTTGGTTAGGTCTTACTTGCACTTTGCAAGCATTGTTGGATCTGATGCAAATGGTATCATAATGGGAAATGTAGTCAGACATAGATGATGAAAAGCGGATCAGCGCATGTTTCGATCACACGCCGAGGGGGGTCTTGAACTAGAAATCCGATCGGTGGAATGACGACGAATGCCGAATTCGCACAGCCACCATTCTATCGAATTTGGAGGACTCAAAATCAATCTTCGAACCCTTGTGTATTGTGTGCGCCGAAGAGTATCGAACCATAGTCCTCAAAAGTGTTCATGCCTTGTTTCTTCCTCACCTTCTCTGAACGTCGTGACTCATCATATACAATCTTGTATCGAAAGTTCATCATAATAATGTAGTCCAACATTTGTTGTTTCTTGGTTGGCTTGGTCAAGGAATTTGAAAGCATTGCACCTCCATGTACCCAAAGAATTGGTGTCCCACAATCCTCCAGGTTTTCCCTCAAGGCCTTGGTTTTCCTTCTATGTCACTCCTCTTCTCACCGCCTTTGACCACCACAGTCGCTCTGTGGTTCTTTGAGTCTGTCACCAATGCTGCTGGCACACGAGAGGCTGCCCAATTTGGATCTCTTGGGTCTAAACAGCCTCCGGTCATCTCACGCCAAAGAACTCTCAAGTAAAGAAGATCATTTTCTCCATCGATAGCGGCCTGTGTTTCTGCACATGCCGGTGACCGACACACTGGATAAATTTTGGCTGACCTGCAATGCACTGGTGTAATGTCACACTCTCTGCCTTCCTGTAATTGATTTGTTGTCAACCCAACAAACATTCCTTCCGTTGAGTCCTTCTCATCGGGTCTGTTTGCAAGGCAGCATCTGTCCGGCAAATCATGTGAAGAGTCTCTTCTTCTGGAAAGGAGTGTATCCAAAAGAGTTGGGCCCAACAGACAGACATCCGACTTTGGCAGAGGTTGGACTAGCAAAATTGGTCGGGCATATTTGCAGAGTTGTGTGTGGCAAAGGTGTCAGCATTGAAGAGCTCAAGAAGAAAGCCACTGCGAGTACGGCAGCTCCCCCAGCATCACCAACGTCGCCATCGTCTGCAGTGACGAGGAAGATCAAACTGAGTGCAGTACTGTCACAAATAGATGAAACATAAATTTTGGTAGCGCCGGAAAAGGAGATCTTGAAGGCTTTTGCTCGGTATGAGAGTGTGTACGGAAAGGGTGAACGCCCACCCAAGGACACCGAGCCAACGCCAGAGCAAATCACAGCTATCAAACATCTTCTGGATGAAGGTTGCCGCCCTTATGCAGATTTCTCTATTTTTGGCCCCTATGGTATGCGAATGTTGAAGAAGGTGAAACTGGCTGGAGTCGTCTTGACACGGGACGGATCATTGAAGTCGCAAGAGTTTCACGGGCCAAGCAACATTTCACATTGGGTCTACTCGTACACAGTTCTACAGAATGTCTTGGTTATGCTGGACGCAGTTGATCTTGGACATCTGTTGAGGTACAAAGCATTGATTGAACGTTACCGTGACAGGTTCTCTGAGAAAGTTTGGTCTGTGGTATATCAAGGAGATGTCCGCTGCAGACTGGAACACATGCCAAGGTTGAAGAGAATCGTTCAAGCAGAGTATGACACTGCCATGGCAGCAGGCACTACTCCACCTTCAGGTTTCGACCCAAACAGACCATGGAACTACGTTTGGGGCAAGGCCTGTGATGACTATGATTTTGGAAGGAGGAAGTGAACGATCCATGCTTCCTCATTCTCACGAAGATCGCAAACAGCAATGAGATCATTGAAGGTGATGCAAAGACTGCAGCAGCAAGCGGATCGCCCCGGGAGACTCAGCCGGTACCGGGGAGAGTCGTTCATGATCGACCAGAAGGTTCAGGGCGTGACAAGGCACCAAGAAGAGCCAGTCGCACAGGGAGATTCAACAATGTTGAAGAAGGTAAGTACACCACGAACCGCACTGGATACAAGACTTGTCGTGATTACAACACAGTTGGTTGTGGCGCAACTGTACAAGGTATCTGGTGCCCTCATGCGTGGGATACAACTCATCAGTGTGACAAGTGCTTGGGCAGTCACGCATCGAACAAGTGTCCGCATTCGGAGATGCCTGAACCGGCCTTTGTGAGGAAGCAAGCAAAGGGCAAAGGCAAGAAGGGAGGAGGAAAGAAAGGAAAGGGAGGCAAGAGGCCTCCCTATTGATTTACGATGCAGGATGTGCATGAGGAGCGAGAACAGGCTTGCAGTGAGACGGGCGCGCTCGCTTCGACGCAGAATTCAACAGTTGGCAGCTCAGCTACAAAAGTTGCAAATGTTGTTGGCAGTGTGTTGTATTTGTTCAGTGGACCCCTCAGACCGGAAGATGGCCTTGAGAAATTTTTTGAGGACCACAAAATGAGGTGTGTCTGCGTGGAGAAGTCAATGAGTTGCATGACCTCCTGGACCAATCAGCTTGGGAGGAATGGCTGAAGAAGCTGACAGAATTCTCCACCTTGCAGCACCTTCACACCAGCGCGAGGAGGACGAGGAGGGCCGCAACCACTCAGATCAGCGTGCGGGCCCGACAGATATGGTTTCAAGTGGCTTGGTGTTGATGACAAGAAGAAGGCCAGAGAAGGCAATGTCTTGGCACTCAGAGCACATGCAGTTGCAGAACATGCCATGAGCAGAAAAGCACCATGGATCTTGGAGCAACCGCACGAACGAGAGGGCAAGACATCTATGTTCAAACTTGATGAATTCATTGAGTTGCTAAAGAGGCCTGGCATTTATAGGTACACCTTTGCCTCAGTGCAGATATGGAGCAGAGGCAGAGAAGTTGACAGATCTGATTTCGAACATTGCTGGAAATGGATGAGTTCACATTGAAATGCAATCATCCCAAACAATGGTGGGTCATTCCTTGGAGTGGCGAGAGGGTGCTGTCACCGCACCCTCCGCTGAGAGGTAAGCAGAGGGCAATTGCTGAGCGTGATTGGGACCGATCTATGCTCCGAGACAAGGAACCACCTGGAGACTATTTGACGAGGCAAGCTGCAGCATACCCAACTCAGTTGAACAGGGCCCTAGCATTGGCGCTTCACAAGGCAACCCGGGATGTACCTGGGGGATTGGTGGCAAGCGTTGATGGGAGCGCCGGTGGCAGGCATGACATTGATCCAAAGCCTACCATGACTCTGAGGTTGACAGCTGCTGGAACTCACCAGAAAGAAGAAGAGGTTCAGAATGGGCTGCGCGATGTGCATTGCTGGGTTACAGACAGGATGAAATACATCGGAGTACAGGTGAGGCGCATCATTGAGCAGGAGTTCTTGTTGGATCAACAGGCACAACAGGACTTGTGGTTGAACATTACAGAACACAAGGAGCAGCGCGAGCTGACGACACCGCATTCGTTCTTGCGCAAGGTATGGGTCAGGCTTGTTGATTTGCGGGTGAGGAACTCAGATGGCTCAGTTACATCAGATGTCAGCATTGATGAGATAGACACTACAGAGTGCTCGACGGTGATCAGAGCGCACCTGCTACAGGCATGGGCCGTAGTAGTGAACAAAGTTGCACGCTGGCTCATAGAAGGGGCCCCTGCAGGACTCCATGGAGGTTCGGACTTTTTGGACGGAGTGTTCCCCAGGGTCGAAGACACATCCAATGACGTTGAACCTGGAGAATTGTTCACAGCGTTTGGGGAGTTCGAGAATTATGCTGGTGTTGAACAAGACCAGGAAGCATACGACGCATTAGAAGGGTACCGTAACAAAGGATACCTGCAGACGTTTGACAGTCGACAGCAACTCGAAAGTTACTTGGGTGCAGTGCCAGTGTTGTCGAAGTTGGCTTGTATTAAGAAACTCAAACATAATGCTGACACTGGGCATTACGTTCACAAGTCGAGGATTATCTTGGACTGCAAAAGAAGCGGTGTGTCGGAAGCGGCCTCGAGGACACACAAGAGCGTGTTGCCAAGGATCACGGATGCAGTGAAATCAGCGCTTGAACTCTTGGACACGAAGACTGATGATCAAGTGGTCACATTGTTCATTGCTGATATTGTTGATGCCTTTTGGTTGATACCATTGCACTTCAATGAGCGCAGGTATTTCTGTGCCGGACTGCGAAACAAATGGTATGTCTATACCAGGACAGCTCAAGGTTCCAGAATGGCACCGCTGACATTTGCAGCAGTGATGGCACTTGCATCAAGGTGGATCCAGAGCCTAGGATCTGACTTTCGCTTGCAGACGTACGTTGATGACCCGCTTATGGTTCTTAGAACCAAACCGGAGGAAGTTAAACAAGTGGCCACAACAGTAGCAGCAGCATGGTTGATCATGGGCTTTCCCATTGCGTTTCACAAGGCTACCT